TTAGCCTTTTTATGGCCCCATTAGTTGCAGTGGAAGCACAACAATTCTGATGTCTGAACTGTAGGCGTCGGGGCGGTGCAATCCTTGCTGAAGTGCCCCGTCTTGTCGCACTTATAGTAGCCCGATGACCCTAGTCTACATGACCCTTCATGTGGCTTGCCGCACTTTCCACAGTGGCTCCGGCCCTGCACGCCCTTCGACTTAGCATCAAATCCCTTGGGGTTCTTCCCCGAAACCCCGGTCACCTGTCCCTCCTCCACCTTCCTCTTCTGGAGGTGCTCCAAATCAATCTCTCTCTCCTTCGCCCTGGAAATCATAAAATCTAGGGTCGGACACGCCGAGAAACTGACATGCTCCCGGATATCAACTCTCAACATGTCGTGATAGCGGGTCCTCCCCATATCCTCATCTCCTGCATACTAGGGTACCAATAAGGCCCTCTCTCGAAACGTGATGGTAATTTCCACCACCGACTCCATAGTCTGCCTCATATCAATAAACTCTCTAGCCAGCTGTTGAAGCTCCACAGCTGGCACAAAATCCATCCTGAACCTGGTCACAAAGTGCGTTCAGGTCATATCCTCAATAGTCGAGGCCCCCAAAGAGTCACCAACTGATTCCCACCAATCCCTATCCTTATCCCTCAAACATCCAGCATCAAATCGAACCTTCAAACCCTCAGGGCAGAAGCTACAACTGTGCATACTCGATGTCTACCATCCATCTCCGGGCCACGATGAGGTCCTTCGCCCCATGGAAATCCGGCGCACCACTCCCCCTGAAGTCCTTGAAGGACAGTGTGCACGACCCTGATTGGCTAGATGCCATGTCGCTTCGAAATGCCCTAAGGCGATCCTCCATTAGCTCTATGATCCCTTCCTTGATTGACCCAAAAATAATCGGGGTCGCCTCAAGGATGCCTCTATTGATCTCGGAAGCAATGAAATCAGGTAGTCTCTTGTTAACTGGCTCGACACCTGATCCCAAACCGGATCTTGATCCTGATCCTCCTCCGTGGTGCGTAATCATTGCCATTTTGAAACAAAACACATAGTGTCAGGGTCATACAATACATCAAGGATCCTACACATTCTACAAGTTCCCTAGTTCTGCCTTATCCCTCCTTGAATCGAGTACGGATCCTATGCTTTTAGTAGTACGGGCCCATACTACCTTCCACATCTATCCGTACTTTCATCAAGGATTGCTTCGACTTCACCAAGTCCCTTCTTTTACTGTTGTATCTTTAGCTAATCGCATCCTAGGCTTACCCTAGGGTAACTCTCCAAACTACTCTCTTCCATCATCCACGTAAGAAGTCCTTGCTACCTTCACCTAACTAACTCGCGAATACCATTACATATTACTAAAACCAGATAATTCTTCGAATGAGGGGTCCTACCCTACAACAGTTAGACTCAAACGAGAGCCGCAAAATAGGGCTAGACCTAACCTTCTAAAATTATTTAGTCCTCACAATATGCAATGCAATGTATTTTTTTTACTAGTTAACCGAAGAAAGCTAGAACTCCTATTAGCACAAAGCATGCAACATTCGGGCATAGAGTAGTCCGTCCCAAATGCAACCTATTCGGGCTATCAAGCAACTCAATAAGCATATACAAAAGGCATAGCAGGCATCTCCCTAGATCCTTAGCTCTATTCTAGCATACAGTTCTCATAACCATATCATAATATAACATAAAAATGTATGGGTATCTTGGGGAAACTTACTTGAGCTCGGCCGGTCACACACATCAAACACCTTGTTCTTTCTCAAAACTTTCCTTACTTTAAATTTTAGAAAACAATTTCTAGTGAAAATCTTTCAAACCCTCGATTTGAGTCCATACATCCCCGAAGGTGTGTTTGAATCCCTCAAACCAAGACTCTGATACCAACTTGTAACATCCCAAATTTCGAGTCAAAAATTTTTGTTTTAGTTAAGTAATTATAAGACTGGTTATTGAAAACATTGCCTATAACATATCAAAACCATAAATCATCAAAACATGTATCCAAGTTAAAACATCGAATAGTAATAAAAGTTAAAGTACAATCCCATGAATCACATAATGCGGAAATCTGATGTGTGTGTGATGTGCAGCTACCGCACCAGCTCCTTCCCCTTCGATGAAGAGGTACTTGAAACAAACTAAAAGTTGTAAGCACAAAGCTTAGTAAGTTCCCCTATCATACCACATAATCACATGCTGTCTGGCATATCTGGGTGCCCGACCTACCCTGCCTGGCATATTTGGGTGCCCGACCTACCCTCCGGTATATTTCAAATGGTTACGTGGACTATTTCACCACTACTACTACCACATAAAGCATAACATAAACACATAAATCAAATATATCATAATCTATCTAGCATAGTTGGGTACTAATCTACCCCTTCAGTCCTATCGACCAATAACCGGGGACTATTTCACCCCTTACTACCATTGTCGCATAACATCATATTATACTATCATATAACAGGTAACAACAACCTAGATGAATATCACAAAGACGATCATCTAACATACAACTCCTACTGGTGGGCCAACATTTTGGCCGTAGACCCACCGTTACTGGAAGGTAACTCACCTCGTGGTACTGCGTGTCTAAACTCGTGGAAAGTGGTCTCTAACAGCTGCTCCGATGAGTTCCGGCTATCATGGTCATATTAACACTAAATCAGAATCTATAACATTACTTAGGGTAAAATGACCATTTTACCCCTAGGTCCAATTTAAGAACATCCATAAAACCCCACCATAAGGCATTAAATCCAAAGCACCCAGTGTCCATCAAGACTCCCTAAGGGTCCACCAATGGCCCAATTTTCCAAATTGGGCCCAACCTTTCAAATGGGTTTTCTTACAATTCTTAATAAGTCTTTAGCCCAAAACAAAATAATCCCAATCGGCCCAATATGGCCCAATGCGTCAGATTTCAGATTCCCAGGTCCAATTTATGTTTTACAGTGGGCTATGAGGCCTAAGAGTCAGGCCCAACATGCATACGTGTGGCGTACCTGGCACATACGCCTGGCGTACGCTGGCCTTAACTATATAAGTGGAGTTGACCCAGTACGCGCAATGCACCAGGGAGTACGCCCAATGTACTGGCCAGCTTCCTTGGGACCTCATCCATGACTTAATCCATTAAGCCTTTACGTCTAAAATGTAGATCCAAGTCCTTTAAGACCCTCTACAACATAAAGTCATGAAATTTATGTGTTTGCATGCATGGTTGAGGGTCAAACATGGTTTTGGGTCCTTTAATCAGCTTAAATACCCACTAATACTTGCATGGTTATGGCTTAACCACCAAGATCCGATTTTTATGACTCTTAGTGCCTCTAAGAGTCCAAAAGGACAACTATTATGGTCTGAAATCATTAAGATGCAAGAAGCCTAAACAATGGAGTCCAAAAGTAACCTTAGACATCCTAAAATCAAATCTAAGCATGTAATGATCAAGTTTGAAGCTTGATACCTCAAATGAGTCAGAAATGGTGCTAGTCTCAGGATCTACAAGTTCCCCTTTGAATCCTTGCTCCTTCTTCAACCTCTTATTCTTCTAAAACAACCAAAATCACACAAAGAAGCTCTCAATTGGTAAAGATACACAAAAGTGGGCTAGGGTTTCCGAGATGGCTGCTTAAGGGTGTTAAGGAGACTGGTCTATGGCCATAGTGTCCTTTATATAGGGATAAAACCCTAAGAGTTAGGGTTTTTGGACCCTGCGTGCGTACGCAGTGCGTACCCCTTTGGTACGTTGGGCGTATGCGCTTGACTTCCGTGTCCTATATCCTTGAGTACGCTGGGCATACATGGGATCAGGATCCAGTTTGGGCTTCCGTGTCCTATATCCTTGAGTACGCTGCGCGGGGTAGCTTCCCCTCACTCTTTCTCATTCTCTGATTGGACAATGATATATATTTTTTTCTTTTCTAGTTTTTATAATATTTAATTAATTATATATATACCAAAATTATAAAAATATATATTAAAATTTAAGGTTTTTAATTCTCTAAAAAAATACAATATTGGAATAAAATATATTTAAAAAGTAAAAATAAAAAATAAAGATAAGTAAAAAATAACCATTTCTTGAGTTTTGAAAAATAAAAGGAGAGAAGAAAAGTGAAAGGTGATAGGTTACACTTTTAAGATAAAAACTTAATAGTCAATTAAATCAATTTTTTTAAATAATTTGAAACAAAATAAATAAGTTATATCTACTATAATAAATGAAGGTTTTTTTGCCACATATCATTTTCTCCTTCATTTGGACACTTGGTATTTTATAGAATTTTTAAATTTTCTATTTTTCATTTATCATTTTATTGTATTTTTCATTTTATTAAATTAAAATTTCATATTTAATGTGTAATTTAATATATATGTAAAGTTTTTATTAGAAAGTGTTTATATATGTAATGTATTCAATACATTAAAGTTTCAATAATTTTAATAATTCAATTTTTTTTTTATTTTTCTTAAAAATTCAAACTTTTCAAATTGTTAAAATTTCATATATTTTTTTAATTAAACCCATGTAATACATGGGTTTCATACCTAATATATATAAATATAAATTTAAAAAATCAATACAAAATTAAAAATTAACTTATATATAATATGAATAAATATTAAATAGAATTACTCTAAATTTGATATCAGTACTAGCATTGATTTATCCTACATGAAATTACAATACTGCCCTTCAGTTTAAGAACATTTACACTTCTGTCTTTGTTTTATTTGGCCAAAAACAGCGAAACCCACACACATCAAGAGCATTCAGGTCTCATTCTTCAATCAAACCTTCTCAAAGTGTTGGCCATCATTTATTAATAATATCTATCTATTAAACAACACCCAACACAGTTTTTGATGGATCCCAAGGGCTCACAGCATCATCATCATCCTCATCATCATCCTCAGCAGCCACACCAAGTTTCCAGTTTTTTGACTCTCCCACAACCCACCACCACCACCACCATGGCTGATCAAAACAACAAGTCTTGTTCAGAAATCAAAGATTTACAAATCGTAGTCGCGGAAAAAGAAAAAGAAGACGGTGGAGCCAAAAAACAACCACAATTATCAGTCAAACGAAGCTCCAACAAAGACCGGCACACCAAAGTTGAAGGTCGTGGTCGTCGGATAAGGATGCCTGCACTTTGTGCGGCGAGGATTTTTCAACTCACAAGAGAATTAGGTCACAAATCTGATGGAGAAACCATTCAGTGGTTGTTACAGCAGGCGGAGCCGTCGATCATCGCCGCCACCGGTACCGGAACCATCCCTGCTTCCGCGATGGGAGCAGCAGGTGCAGCTTCACTCGGAGCTTCCATTTCAGTCGGATTGCAACACAAAATTGATGAAAATAGTAGGACCAATTGGCCATTAGTTGGTGGGAATTTGGGGGTAGGTAGACCCACAAACCACATGGCTACATCTCCGGCTCTATGGCCCGCCATACCCACATCCGGATTTGGGTTTCATTCTTCTTCATCGTCATCTGGTCCATCTGCTAACAATCTCGGCAACGAAAGCTCCAATTATTTACAAAAAATTGCATTTTCAGGGTTTGACTTGCCCACTTCCAATTTGGGTCCGATGAGTTTTTCTTCGATTTTAGGCAATCATCATCATCAACCGCAGCTTCCGGGGTTAGAACTCGGCCTCTCGCAAGATGCTCATATTGGGGTTCTAAATCAACAAGCTTTGAACCAGATTTACCATATGAGTCAAGCTAGAATGCACCAGCAGCAGCACCACCACCAACAACAACAGTCTTCAAAGGACGATAATTCTCAAGGTTCAGAGGGTCAGTAGAACTTTCAGATCAAGCTATTATAATGAAAAATGAAACCCAAATCTTTTAGCTCTGTTGGATCATGGAGTTTCTGTGTTGTATTGTATAATTTGCCTAAAAAAGAAAAGAGAGTAAAAGAGACTGATAAAGATGTTTCAGAGCTTCATCAGTATCAAAAAAAAAAAACAGTTGTATATTAGCAGGTGCTTTTGGGGTTTCCCCTCTCTGACACCATCTTTTTTCTTTCTGTAAATCATATAGCTTTGTTTTTCCATTTAAATACATTTTTCTTGATATCGTATATACATATATTGGTGTGGACGATACGCCATGTTGGTTTTGCAGGGCGAATCAATCAAGGCCTTTCTTGTTTAGTTTCAGATGTGTGTTTTACTCTAGTAGCAGCATGCAATACTGCCCCTTATTAATATATATATGTGTGTTTTGAGGAAACTTCTTAAAGGAGTATGTTGCTTTCTTTCTACTCTTTGATGTTCAACTCATTAACTAAAATGATTAGTTGGAGTTACAAATTAGTTGTTTGCGTGTCGGTGTGAATAGCTATGTTGTATTTCGGAAGTCGGATGTGTTTCCGTGTCATGTCTTTAGAAACTCGTTTTCTGAAAACTGTTATTCTTTCAGCAACCCATAAGTTAATTAGTAAAACTTCCACTTATACGAGAGTACACTATGGGCCCACATGATTGCCAACATGAAAGTCCGGTTCAACAAGTCGCCTAATCTATATTCTTTTCTTTCATTATGTTTATTTATCCTTTTGATGATAAAAAAGTCGACAGAAGGCTATATTGAAACGAAAAGTTTTTTAGAGTACAAATGACTATTTCCGTAAACATATCATCCGAAACAAACTTGTTGGTTTGTTGTAAGATCTTAAGAGTATGGGTTCTGGTAACCAGATTTGAATCATGACTAGGGGCTGAAACGATTAAGTCTTCGGTTTAGTCTAGGCATGTGAGTCATCAAGAGCTTTTCAGGTTCGAGTTATTACGTTTGAAGTTTGAAGTTGATGTATTTAATTTTTCTACGATCATAAATAAATTCAACGGACACTCAATTTATTTGGCAATAATAATGGTCTATAGTATGGAAATAAAGAGAGTCACGGGTGGTCCCTTATTCTATCTAGACTACATAATACATCGCACATTTAACCCAATAATCCTAACGTCATGTCATTGAGAGTCTCTTTCCATCAATTCTCAATTTCATATTGGTTTATGTACGAAGGCATAAATTTTTGTGACTATCGTATTTAATAGTTTGACGAAATCAAAGTAAAACATAATTTTGGAAATCTAGCGTTTTCAGGCATGTATTTCAAAGATATCTAGTTTGCCCCGTTGGGAGATAGTGATTGGCTTTTAGGTCTTACTATATTAACTTGTTTATTTAATTGATGTAGCGGGCGAATATTTCAAAAGAATAATCAATTGTTCTTAAGTGCCGTTAGTCTAGCGGTACCAAGGAGTTAAAAACCTGTGTCTTTCTCTAAAGGTTTTGAGGGTTCAAATACCATTATGGATAACAAAGTAGTCCAGGAGTAAGATTTAGTAAGTATCTATCAACCGTTCCAAAAAAAATGATAAATTGTATGTTTTCTTTCTATAGAACATTATTTTAAAAAAATGGTTGGGTTACAAATATTTCATAGCTCACAAAATATCACCACGATTCATTAAATTGTTGGTAATGCCTATGAAAAGAGTTGCCAACATTGTTGTTTTGAAGCGTTTTTTATAGTTATGTGACCCGCACGTTGATCTCATTTCGCTTCGATTTCGCATGGAGATTACCAAACTATTCGTTGGCTTGAGGACATGCCAACTCATTCACATGGAGGAAGCGATATTATTCTTTTTGAGGTTCGTTCTTTAAGGACATCCAATTTTGACTTACTCTATTACCCTTTAGGTTTGGTGGTCTGGAGCTATACACATCGGTAGAGGTTTTCTCATATGTTTTTGTGGCCTCACAGGTAAGTCTGACAATCGCGTTGTGTTCGGGTTGGCAAGTCAAAATACACAAATCCAAACATGACCCATTTAACTATACATGTTAGGGATGAGCATTTTGATCAGACCGGACCAGTTCCAGAGAATATTGAGGGCCATTGACCGAACCAGACAAGGCTTATCGGGTCTAGTTTTTCCAGTTCTTGGACCGGTACAAGTTTACATGCGTACGGTACAACTCGTTAAAAAACTTTTTTATGTTTGATACAACTCGTTAAAACGGTTATGTTGTTGGGTTTGACACATTACAACTCGCTAAAATGAATATATTTTTGGGTTTGATACGATACAACGCATAAAAATAAATATGTTTTTGTTTCTTGTACCCGTTTGATCGGTCAAACTTTGATTATTTATATCATTTGTTTGAACTTTGAATCAAACAAGTTAATGACCCATTTCGAGAAACATTGGTTTGTTGACCAATTTCTTGGATGTATGTCAACGTCTAAGACTTCATTGATAAAAAGATTTACTAAAGGTTTTGATGTAGCCAAAACAATCCTTATTTTTGTCTTGAATTTTTCAAACAATGTCACCATATTCATTACCAATGTTTTAAAACCCGGGTCGGCCCGTCCGGTTCAACCGGTTGGACCGTGACCCGGGGTAGAAGGCGTGTCAATTGAGAACGATTTTTTGTAAAAAATACGGACCAGATCGAACCGATCAGGTTTCCCCTAAACCGCGATCGAACCGGTTAAAACCGGATTGACCCGTTTTAATAGGGCTTTGATACAAGTAGCGAACCCCAAAACTATGTTTTTGTTTTGTTTTGTGTACTCTATGTAGTTGTTTATTGTGTTTAGATTGATTTATACCACGTTTTCATATGTTTTTCAATGTTTAAACATTATAGACATCAAATTATTGGTTTTATATGTCTATACATTATGCTCGAAAGTAAAAATATATGAAAATAGAAAAAGTCCATAAACTGGGTTGACCCGGCGGTTTAACCGGTTGACCTATGAACCGGTCATCACACCGGGTCAATTAAAAACCCGGTTTTTAAAACATTGTTCGTTACTATTTTGAAGTCATAATTTTTCGGTACTCTACCGAGATCCCTTTCATATAATTTATCTATTAAAGATACATAAAATTCAGAATTGTAGTCTAAAAAATAGCAAAAATATTTCAGCTTTGATATTTTAACTTTAAAAAATAGCAATTTAGTGAAAATAACAACAAAAATGATAAAATTATAATCTAAACTCATCTACAAACTTTAAATTACATGTTGGAAAAAGCCGCATGCCAATCCAACTTAAAACGAATGTGGTATGCTTGTTTAAAGATTTTCATAGAATATAAAAGTTTAAAATAATAGTTGAAAAACTTAAATATTCTGGCTTTGATATCCTAACTTTGAAATATTTTAATTCATTGAATATAACACAAAAAACTACAAATTATAGTTTAAATTAATCTAAAAACTCCTAAATTACACGTTGGAAAAACCTCATGTCAATCCAACTTAAAACGAATGATATATGCTTGTTTAAAGATTTTTACAGAATACAAAAGTTTAAAATAATAACTGAAAAAGTTGAAATATTTCAGATTTGATATCTCAACTTTGAATGATTGTAATTCATTAAATTTAACACCAAAAATGACAAATTATAGTCTAAACTCATCTACAAACTTTAAATTAGACGTTGGAAAAAACTACACACCAGTCTGACTTAAAACGAATGAGATATTTTTGTTTAAAGATTTGATAAAATTTCTTTTTTAAATTAGGTCCAAAACTGGTTTTTACCCAAAATCGGTCGGGCCGAACTAGTAACAAAACCGGACCGGTATTGATCAATTCTTAGAACTGGGAACCAGCTCGGGGCTCCAAAAAAAGGTCCAGGTTTAGGTTCGATCCGGTCCATGGGTCCTAATGCTCATCCCTAATACGGGTCACATGTTGGCGGGTTTGGAACATAACCCTTATGAAACATCCCAAGAATACGGTCCAAAATTTCGTTTTTAAAATCATTTAAGAAAACCATAATTCATTAAACATCATAATAAATATCATAAATCATGTATCCCAAATCATCATAACAAAATACTGTATAACCATAATCTACCAGTTCATAAACATACTCAGATAATACTAAGAAATGGGCCCTACCCATAATTAGATACTAATCAATAATCATAAACAAGTCTAAGATACGGGCCCAGCCCACACTTAGCTACTAAACATAAATAATTCTAAGAGACGAGCCTAACCCACACTTAGCTACTCTACACGGGCCGGTATTGGTGCCTTTGACCCGAACCTACTGAAGGAAACTCACCTCTCAAGCTGACTGCTGAAATCTCGTGTCAGGAATCTATAATGGCTCCTCCAATGACTCCCCGGCTATCATTATCACAATAATCACTTATTCAAAATCTGATAATCCTTATAAGGGTAAAATGACTATTTTACCCCTCGTCAGAGCCAACATTCTAGTCAAAGTCAACATTCCGGGTTGACCCAACTCGCCGAGTTGACCTATAAACTCGCTGAGTTCTATAACTCAAAAATCCTGAAATCACGATCCAACTCGCCGAGTCATCCCCCCTGACTCATCGAGTTCTATCTGGTACAAAATCAAGACAACATGACTCAAGTCATCGAGTTCCTCTATGGATTCAACGAGTTCTTTAGTCTGTATGGGCCTTCTTAAAGGTTTAAGCCCTTACTCTTCAGTTCTAAGCTTCTTATTCCTCATGCACCCTGTAATTGTCCTTTTAAGGGTAAAGTTTCCAACTTTACCTATTAATATCCCTTCTTCATGGGTTTAGCTCAAACCCTAGCTCTCTTGGACATAGATCTTGGTCCAAAAGCCATAATACTCCAAACTAAAACATACTAACATAGATCTAGGCCTTAGACATCATTTTAACACGTAAAGCTCCTAACTTTCCTTCCATGCATGAACTTTTGGGCTTAAAAGGCTAAAATAACACCTTAGAGCTTGCATGGGGGCTCCAAT